AGAAATAGACACAGCTGCATTATCTGTATTTTTTTTAATCCAAGCTTTCATTCCTAACTGTCCATTATCCCGTCAAAAAATACATCTCTGGCGCCTCATTACTTGTTAACAGCTTGTTACTGTAAACAATACACAAAGGGAATAGACTAGCCAACGTTGTCAAGGGTCTGTTGTGTTTCCTAGAGGTGGAAACAAACTCCAAATACTTGTGCTTGGCAATTCCCAGCGAATATCTCGATCCCCTAATCTACCATGGCTCGGAAAAGAGGTGACCTCATCCCAGGCCGAACATTTGGCAGAAGCTAAAACAAGAGTCATGACAGGTCAAAGCATGTGCACCATAAATGGACACATCGCTGGACTGAGGCTGTCATGAAATGCTTATTTGTTGTGATTTCACTTGTACTGTCACACAAGTACTGTTCATATACACACACATATTTTTTAAAGTGCTCCCAGATTTCATTGATAAATGTGCCTAAAATGAATGGCAATAAAGCGACTGCTGGAGGCTGGTGGCCCCCTCTGACTTGGGCACATGACCACCACCCTGCTGTGTGCCAGACAAAGGATGGGCGGGCAGTGCTCCATCCAGCATGTGTGTATGAGGTTGTGTGTTCCCTCATGCATGCATATGTATGAGTGAGAATGTGAGTGGGCTTCCTGTATGTAGGTTTTTTCCAGTTTCTGTGAAAGATGAATGTCGTCTGGAGACCATGAGATTAAGAGAGGGCGCCCAACGTATTACCTTCAGTATTATTATAGAGTGACACCTGACAGAGTCATAAAGGGAGTAGCCTGTGTGTAAAAATACCACTGTGACTAGTTGGGGGATATTGAGCATCACACTGCCTCAAGTGACGACAGGGGATTTTTTTTTTAGGAAAAGTCTTTTTTTAGCTCAAGTGCTGAAGGCTAAAGCCATCATGGTCTATCTTTCCCCCGCTGCCAGTTTCCTTCCCAATGCATGTGACAGCGTACTAAAACTGAAAATAAGCATTAGCGATGCTCGCATTGAATGTCCACAGTATTCAGCAAATCTCTACAAAACTGCTTATCAAACTGCCAGGTGTGATATCAATTTACAGTTACAAAATGTTCTCTTAGTGAGAAATATCAGTATCATTTTGAAAAGACAGATCATCTTGTTGTGAGGACACTGTTTGCTTTGTGCTGCCTGTACACTATACCGTGCAGTGTAGCATGACAAATCAATTCATGCTAAATTGATTCGCTGACAAAAATGCTTGCACATTTTCTCAGGAAGATCCCTGTTGATTTGTATGTTTTTGATGTTCTCTGTGTAGCAATCATTGCATTCTCTTTTAATAAGCCACTCTAAATGGCACTAACACACAGGGAGATAATGTGCCCTCTGTGTAAAGAGACTCCATCTTCTAATAAGCTGTTGACACTGGAAAAATCAGCCTCTAAAACAAGGCCATCTACAGCAATGTCAGCTCTAAAGCCAAACAACGGCCCTGAGAGGCACAGCCACTCCGTTTACCGGTGACTCATGCTTTTTTCTCTCTTCACATTGCCACTTAGTAAGATGTGCAGTTACAGGTAAGAGCCATTTGAAAAGCAAAACCGTCAAGTCACAAAATAATAAGATTGGTTACCTTTAATCAGCGACACGTTATTCATGGGATCACTCAGCTCTTTCTCATCCATTTGCTTATCTGTAACGAAAAAGTATAAGAGGTAAACAAACAAATAGATGTATCTCACTAAATCAAGATGTTATGGTGCCAAATCAAATACAGAAGAAACTTGATAATAATTACACTATGGGTGCTGTTATTATGGTTAACAATGATCTTTTAAGAAAGTAAACACAAAAGTGCATGCTCATCTATGAACACAAAACAAGTCATTTTCAAAGATGCAGTGGAAAAACTGCTGAGACATTTTCTTTGAGAAATAGATCACATAATAATAATAAAAAGTTTAGGAATAAAAAACATAGGAGGAAATGTTACCTTCGGTGATCTAGGAGCTACAGTACTCTATGTTCTGAGGCTACAGCAGTCCCTGACATCAAGAACTCTCCTCCAACTATCAGATTTTTTTCAGATGCGAAATGGACCAGTCCACGCAGTGAGGGTGGGGGGGGACACTGGGGGGATTACAGACGCTGTGTACCAGATCTCTCTGCTATTGTTAGATTCAAGCCAGTAAAGACTAAGGAAGGGTTGATATAGCTGAACACATACTTTGAGTTTGGTTGCAAAGCTATACTAGAGGTAAGTCAGATGAATGTCATCAAAAAAATGACCCCCCTATTTTGTACAGTCCCTAAGCCCCTCCGACTAGGTCATGCATCCGAGTAGAGCATGTCGGAAGCTGCAGCTGCATAGTGACACAGAGAGGGTTTGTTCAGGGAGCTGTGCTGCTCTCTGACCAGTTGGTACTGATGTAAAAATCTACAGGATGACACAGAATAAACAAAGGCAGTGTGTGTCACGTATGTGCTGCAGCCTCATATTTTTGCCATGCTGTAGGAACTTTAAAATTAATAAATGATTTGCCTTAAGGGTTGAATCTTAATTTAATCCCGAGCAGGGAAGCGGTGTCTATCACACGAACAAACTGTGTATTGTTATGCTAATTGGAGAAAAAAATACCTTTGTTTGCCTCTTTAGCGTGCTTTGAATAGTTTGTGAGGCTGAGGCAAATTCCAGTTATAGAAAGAAAGCAGTGGTCTAAATTAAATAGCATGATATTACCTTTTCTACATGCAAGCAAATAAATGTTTCCTCCCGGATCGAAAGCTTTTAACGCTAATCATGTCCCATCAGCAATTCCTTAAATAATGTACAAAGGCACACAGACATAAAGGATGTAATTCAGATTTTAAAATGGAGGGGCATGTCATGGTTTAGGGGACATTCACATTCTTCAAGATGTTTTAACTTCAGTCTACCTTCGTATTTAAGGCGGTACAATTCCTTATTGTAGATGGTAATATTATTAGTCATCATTGTGACACTAATGCCGCAGGCTAAGTGGAGCAAGTATGAACAGCTCGTTTCAATTGATTTCCAGACAAGCATATCAATGCAGATAATAGCATGCTGCGCCCAACAAGGGAAAACCTGTGTTACCTGTGTTAGGAGTACACGGTCATCCTGGCAACCGACAGTAAATTAAAGACCCACAACAAAAAACACCCTTCAAGTTTAACGAAGAAACTGACAAGCTGTCCCTACAGTCTGAAGATATCAGTTTGCAGCTACACAACAGTGAGAAGGACACAGACATATGCCAAGACCGGTTTGTAAAAAGCTGTGAATCCATCTAAAATGTTTGCTGTGCCCAAGGGAACTCAACCTTGGTTGGCCAGGCAAGCTAGTAATGAAGTAAAGGTTTATGATATAAAGCTGCAAATCATTGACATGTTTTCGGTCAATAATCAACCATTCCAACTTTTAACTCTGGTTTAAGGATGTTTATAATCTCTACAAACTGTATATTCGCATCCCACAAGGGTGATTCTTTAACACGAGAACACTAACCAGCGAATCTTCAGTTAAGTGGATTAAGAATCTTATAGAGCATGCAATTGTTAAGTGTTTTCTAGACAGACAGGTGAAGGGTAAAGCCACACAAACCGGTTTTATAGTTGGAAGATCTGCACAACTTTAATAAGATAAAGGTCTGCAAACAAAACTGCTCTATGACTGAGAAAATGTATGGTATCTCATATCATCAACATGATCTAAAGTGGCTGCTGCTCTCCGAGAGCTTGCTTAAAACATTCATAAATGCCAAACTCCATACTCCCGTTATCCTCACATTTAATAGCAGCCTGGACTGAAATCTGCTTTTTGCCTCAGCAATAAAACTGAATTTGATGTTGCATAATATATGTAAAAGGCATTTAATAGTTTTATTGAATGGAAGTAACATTAAGATCTAGCTACACTTTAGTTGTACATTTGTCAGGTTCACCTAGCTCAAACTACTACCGTCTAAAATCAAGGTTATACAAATGATTGTGCCTTCATGAAGGTTTTAATGTTTAGGTTATTGAAACTTTTCTAAGAGAGGCTTTAATTGAACTAATGATATTTGTTAGGATTATAACCTTGGCAGTATTCAATGTCCTTTGCTTGGACTGCAATAGCTTCAGCAAGGTTAAACTGAGTGTATATTTCTGCAAGATAAATGGCTGGCTTGGAAAATATTTCTGCAGAAAGAGAATATATTAAATTGATAAGTGTTGTTACCCAACCTAAAAATTGACCCATATTAGACTAGTAGGCTACATCTTCCATACACTTAGAAGTGGTTTAAAAGCTTTAGTATTTTTCTAGTCAGGTAAATATGGATATTAACTGTTAATTTCATCCATTTTATTTTCACATTTCCTTTCATTTGAATGGCATCATCGCTTTTGCACTGGAATCAATTAAATAAAAAATAAACAGCTTGGCATTATATAAAATCCTAAAATTAGAGAGATACCTAATCAGACAGGTAGGCTACTTTAACGTAGCTAGCTTAGATAAAACATTACAACACGTTACTCTAAGGATGTAGTAGCTAACTGATAGCTTGTTAGCTAGTTACTTTAAAAGCTGGTTTTAATTATTAACCTACTTAATATGAACATAATATCAGGACAGAGCTGAGTGAGTCATAAAACATTTAAAAAAGAATAAAGTGTCGTAACTCAAAACCAAACAACTCGAAAATCTGGTTTTGTTGTTGTTAATTGGCTATGATGCTAATTTAGCCTAAACTAATGAATGACGTCATCTGCAAATTGGCTAGGTTTCAGTTGATACTAGTTTATGGTAGTTAGCTTGCCTTTAACTCCCTATCAAAGCCCTACTTTTTATAGGCACAATATAATGCTGAAGAGGCAGTCTCAAAGGCTATAACCTATAAAACAGTGTTCAGTTTACAAGTTAGAAAATATCACTGAAAGTTGCCTAATCAGTAAGGTGGGTGTTGCCCTTTCTTACGTGTGTGAGGCGAGCGGTCCGTTCAGTTTGACTCACAAACCAGAAGTGATACTCTGTTCTTGGTGCAAACAGCAGGAGGAGAGGAGGAGGAAACATCACCGCAGAGGGTTTCAGTTTAAATATCCTAAGCCGCCAGATGTTCAACAAGTAACTTTCACGGTTTCACGGTTGATTCACCTTATTTGTCTGATCTCGAGTATTTTCCTGCTCCCCGATGACTTCCTCTATTTTAGACTGGATTTGGAGTGAGAGTTTTTGGCTTCCCCAAAATGTTACATGGGCGGACCTGGAGCGCCCACCACCTGGTGAGGAGTATCCCCGAATGAGAGACATACTATATGCTCTACCTCTGGCTGTTTGCGTTTTTCTACTAAGAATGCTTTTTGAAAGGTAAACCGCACCCTTTTACCTTTGTTTTTTTTATATTTAGGTAACGTTATTTTTATGTGAATGTGTGCTCTGTGTGCCTGCACATTTCGGGGGATTTCAGCCTATGTGGCAACTGTTGCTCCAAAATACAGGAATAAAAACAAGCTACCAAACTCATTGCAATAATCTTAATATATGAGTAATTCCTTATGTATGCAAACTTTCAGGAAACTAGAGAATCAACTCTAGATGCTTCAATACAAATCCTGTGCTGATGCTATTACAAAAACACCCACACACAATGTGGTTACTATGACGTTAGACAAACCAATTTTTATTAAATTGACTTCATAGATGGGGACTGCTTTAGCTTCTGCCTGTCCATGTGAAAGATACTTGCTAATGCTACTTCTCTCCTGTTGTTGGTTTTGCCTTAGCCTCCTAATAACAGCTTAAGCATTCCTTTTGAGGTGATGATGACATATGAAATAACTCCAATGACTTGAAACACACGTTTATCTTGCTCAGCAAAACACCTACCTAATGATAGTAAGGTTATTTAAACAAATTAAAAGAACTGGCATGAAATAGTTCATTTAGTGTATTTACTTGTGATCCTTGGAAACTGAGGCTGGGTTAGATACTTTTGAAACTGTTCTGTACTGCATACATATCAGTCTTCCTTGCACAGAAAGTCAAGAAGTTTTATAGCTAAGTTCAACTAAATTAGGGGTTATGCATGGTTTTCTTTCAGAGTAAAATGAAAGGGCAGGCCCTAAACTCAGTCTTTACTTCTATTCATTCAGTATTTTTCAAAGTTAGGAAAACGTTCTAGATAAATGTGGGTTGTTGGGAGATTTAAATTAATAGCTGAGTCTGAGCATGAACACTGGTCAACTCATATGGTTATGTGGCACCCATCAATTTGGTGGTAAGAGGCAGTCCTTCCTTTCCCTCACATGACGGTGGTCATCATGCTCTGTTTAGACTAGGTGCTACATTCCCCAGAATTCCTCCTAACGCTCGCCTGTGTCTTCCTTACAGACTCTATTGTACCCTCTTCCCCTCCCTCTAAGACAAAGTCAAACATGACTTTGTAGGCAAACTGCAAACTCAACAGTTCAAGTCAATGAAGGGAGCCCTTCAGACAATCCTAGCTAATGGTTCATCTGTTCGAACCAGTACAACGTGCTTAACTTATCCCACTGACTCTCTTCTTGTTTATGTCTCTCTTAATGCTTCACCGTCTCTGTGTCCCCCTCCCTCTCACTTTTTTTTGCCTCCGTCTGTGTATTTACAGGCTAGTGGCCAAACCCTGTGCCCAAATACTTCAGATTCAGGCGGGAGTGCCTCGACAAGCTCAGCCCAATGCTGTCCTGGAGAAGGTGTTTCAGTCCAAAGCGGTACATAAAGCCCTTACTTGTTCTGTAGTCCACTAAATGTTATTCTGCATGCTGGAATAGTAAAAGTTACTGCACTGACATAAACCAACACAGACATAATGATATGGGTAGTCAATCATTTCAAGCAGTGTGACAATCATACCTAGTGTTGTGGTGTTTTTGAGAGTTGAAGAGAGACTATGGAAAGCAAGTCATTTCTATTTGTTCCGTCTTTAGTGTCCAGACACGAGGACATTGGAGGGACTCTCTAAGCAGATGGACTGGGATGAACGGAAAATTCAGAGATGGTTTCGGGTCCGTCGAAACCAAGACAGGCCAAGTGTGCAGAAAAAGTTTTGTGAGAGCATGTAAGTTCTTACTAAACTGATATTCAGTGTCTATGTGTTGCCATTGGGGCTGCAACTACAAATTATTTCATTATTTGTTGATCTGCAGATTAATTATAATACAAGATTACTTCTTTAAATGTATTTTCTTGTAAGTCCAAGACCCAGAGATGCATTTTCTGCAATTTTTGCAGGAACTTAAACAAACTTTAACGATTGATCAATCAAAAGAGTTGAGTTCATGATAAATATTCTGCCCATGGCTTCGCCGGCTTAACGTCCCAGCTGTATTTGCCATAAAGTTTTGAACAGACTTTCGTAAAATAAATCCTAATGACTGGAGTGTCCCCCTGACTTTACATGTAGCGATACCATCAATTCGAAGTTATTCTACAAATCATCATCTACACCTCTCTGAGGCATTAGCATTACTTTAGAAATTAGTCTTTTAAGAAGAGAACAAGTTTCATTGTAGTTTCCCATTCAACCCTTTTTCTTTCACTTCAGGTGGCGATTCACCTTTTACTTGGGGATTTTCATCTATGCAATTAGACATTTGTGGGTGGTGAGTCAAACTGCTTTTGCACAATACTGATACTGTTTCATTGAAGTATGTGAGCCTACTGCTTGTTTTTTGTTTAACTTATCATATGTATCTGTTTCTGTCAGTCGCCTTGGATGTGGGACACCAGAGAATGTTGGTACAACTATCCATTCCACGTAAATAGTTTTTTATTCACTCCATCATTATAATATTCAGCTGCTTTTACTATGTTTCTGAACTGTACAGCACCATATTGTTGGCAAGCCAGTGGTGCTTCTTTTAAAGGTGTTTTTTTGTGTACCTCCTTCTAAAGCCTCTGAGTGCTGGACAGTTCAACTACTATGTAGCTGAGCTTGCTTTCTATTGGTCCCTGATGTTTTCCCAGTTCATAGACATCAAACGAAAGGTAAGTCAGCCTCACTCACACTGTTGTACTGCCTCTTATTTACCCTTTCTACCAGAACTGTTTTGCCAGCTGTTCATATTGACTTCATTACATAAACTTGCTCAATCAATCAATGAGAAGGTAACTTTAGCATATTAGGGAAAACTTGCTTTTGTCCATAGATGTGTTTTCCTCTGCATTGGAAAGAATCAGTCTTGGGTTACGGTGACATTTTATACATTCATGCTTCAGCTAACTCTGCATTAAGATTTATTACTGCAGACAATTACAATAATCATATCATCATTGTGAGCTGAATGCTGCCTCTTTTAATTTCAACCCTTATTGAATCCACTCAGAGCTTTGAAAGAATAACCTTGAATAACAACCAAAACAATCTAAAAATTATGCCATTTTTATACTCAGGGCAGTATACGTTCTAATGTTATCCTACTTCACTTCCAGCTGTTCTAGTTTTCGTTTGTACATTTGCCTTAAAATTGTATTGTTCTATTTCATTTCAATGTTTCAATAATTTTTCCATTTTCATTTGAACATTTATTCATTTATGTTTTTACTCTGCTATATTGTAAATGAGGATTCTTCCCCAATGTATTTGCAGATGTACAATTAAAAAGGTTACCAGTGTATTGAAATTTGCATATTATAATGTGCGCTGTCAGAACAGGTTAGACCATGAAAAGCTGCAGCAGCACATTATTTACAATGCCTGTGATCAGCCTGTTTTACGGGTCTTTAAACAAAGCTTTTCAGTTGGTTTCATGACAGCCTGTTGATGGATTTAAGGGAAAGGCAGTGATAATTACTCTCCAAGTTCATCCCATTGTTCTCTGTATTTTTACAGACCTGCAAAATTACATTGCATCATATTCATTCATTTATTTCGTCTTTTCATTTCACTAATCACAGGATTTCATTATCATGATTGTCCATCACCTGGCCACCATCTTCCTCATCACATTCTCCTATGCCAACAACATGCTAAGAGCTGGCACTTTGGTCATGTGTGTGCACGATGCATCTGACATCTTTCTCGAGGTAAAGATTCAGAAGTGAATATTTTATTTTTCCTTACAGCACTTGTTGAAGAATTAAACTTCATTGTTTTACAATATGAAGGCAAACACAGATGGGAACAGGACACTGTGAGCCACTTGTACTACTGTTTGTACCTGTCTGAGAGAAAAGCACATATCTATTACAAGCATTTCCATATGTAGCAGCACAAGTAGCATAGAGCTGCACTACCTGTCTGACAGGAAAACCAATCCATGACTACCATCAGTGACATTCTTTCAAGATCATTGCTGGAGATACTGTTGTGATATTTTATTACTGTGAATCATTAATTCCTTATTTATTCCCCAAGGCGGCCAAACTGGCCAACTACGCCAAGTACCAGAGGCTATGCGACGGCCTGTTTGTGGTGTTCAGCATAAGCTTTTTCATCACTCGACTTGTCATCTACCCTTTCTGGTGAGTCAAATGAGAGCTTATTTACAAACCAAATGACATACCTTTCCCTACTTGACACATATTTAGGAATTGGAGAGTATTGTTAAACTAAATTAGTTTCATAACAAAGCAACATAACCAGTAACCTTTGTGTGTTTGCTGCAGGGTTGTTTACAGTGTTCTGGTTGAGAGTTGGGAGATTGCGGGGCCGTACCAGGCCTGGTGGTTACTCAACGGGTTGCTATTGGTGCTGCAGACTCTTCACATCATCTGGTTCTACCTCATTGCTCGCATCGCCATCAAAGCTATATTCAAGGGAAAGGTTAGTCTGGCTTTTTTTCCTTTGTTGCAATGTTGGTCAGTTAGTCTACAACTGTGGTCCTGACTTAAACATTACAACTATTGGGGTTGGTTTTAATGAAGTTATTCCACCCCGCAGGATGGCTACTAATGTCTTAAGTGATAGTCTGAGGTGTCTTTTAGTGCGGGATGACATGTCTTTGTTTTAGTAAACTGTCTTGACAACTTTCGGATGAACTGCCATTAAATCTGGTACATACTTGCATGTTCCTCTCAATAATAATAACCTTGGTTTCCTTCTGACTTTTTCTTTAGCGCAATCAGGTCAAGTTTAATGTGTTTAATACTCTGATATAAAACTAAATACCTGTAAAACTAAAGATATTCCCATCAGCCTTAGTTATACTCTCATCGCATCATTTGGTAGACATGGAACAGTCAGATTCTCGGTTGTGTTTTCTGAAATCCATATGTATTCTTCTTCACATCTTTCCCTTACCTTTCTGACATTTAGGTCAAATATAAAACAGCAGCCTTAGTGTTGTTTTCCTTTCATCACTATCCCAATGGTTAGTAAAACTGTCATCCTGTTCATTTCACAGGTGGCTAAAGATGACCGCAGTGACATCGAGAGCAGCTCGGACGAGGAAATTGATTCCAGTTCCGGTAAAAATCCCAGTCAGACTCTGAATCCAAAGGACAACAATCACACTGTGAATCCTAATGGAGACACTCATGACCACTGAGTCCCATGAGGGGATCAATTCCAGTGGCTTTTATTCACCTGCTGCGGGCCTGCGTGACCCACCTCGTCACATTGACCTCCTGAAAGACTTTTTTTTGTTCATCCAAAAACATTTGCTGTCGTTCCAATGGAGAATGGACTCGGACACAGAGGAACTTTGTGTGTGGAATAAAGACTTAGCGCTGTCTTACTGAGTCAAGTTTACACTGTGTGAGGTTTACATCTGTTTTTTGCTTACAGGAGTGGACAGAGAAATGTGTGTGGTCTCTCTGCACTTTGCTGTGTGTGTGTGTGTGTGTTTGTTTGTGCGTGTGTATACAAAGTAATGAAATTGAAACAATGTCAACACTGCTATTGTCAAGAAGCGTTTTCTACATTTTATTTGTGAAAATGGTAATATATTTACAGCTGAAAAAAGAAATCACTGCAATCTGCCTTATTGAAAATACTGCTTACTCTAAGCTAAAGATCTCTCTTAAAATGCCAAATATTTCTTAATAAAAGACAATGTATCAGTGAATAATGTGTAGGATTTTTATTATATAGCGAATTTGACTGTATAATGAGTACAACTGCTGCTGATTATATTCTTGAGTAGTTGCTTGATATACAATAATAAGTATCATAGTCTGTATTTTCTATCAACTGGTCATGTTTCTTGTTTGTCAAACAATCCAAACCTAAAGATATCTTATTTAAAGCAGAGAAAAAAGCAAAATAAAATGTAACATTTGACATGTTGTAATCAGTGAATGTGCCGTGCCCCAACACAATATTCCTTGACGTATGATTATACAATGAGTGATTGAATACTTATGTTTCTGTTGACTGACAAATTAATCAGTCCTTTAATCACTTGAACTCAAATAATAAGCACTGTTTGTGATCGTCTAGCAGTGTGTGTGATCAATCTTCAGTATCTTATTTTATCACACTCATCCAAGATGCTCAAAGCTTCTTCACTGAAGTCGTTGTACTTCAGGCTAAAGAGAGAAAGCAGAGTTACACAAGTTACAAATGTTTCCCCACTCTATGTAAACTTTATGTAAAGTTCAAGATAGTTTATCTGTTCACTGGAGCAAATTAGTCTTACTTCATCTCCTGCATGTTGTCGCTGTCCTGCAAGACCTCGACGATGGCTGGGACGGAAGCGTCGGTCAGCGAGTTGTTCCTCAGTTCCAGGGTCTTCAAAGTCTTGCTGGCCCTTATAGCAGCACACAAGTCCTCAAGGCAGGCGTCCGTCAAACCGGTCATCTCAACACTGCAATACAAGAGGCAGACATATTTAATGTAGTGCTCACTGCAATGTGGTGATAAAATAGTTGTTCTATTATTTTGACTCACTCCAGTTCCTCCAACAGACAGCTTGGATGTGCAACAGCATCCCAAATATGTTTAACCCCTTGGTCTCCCACTGCATGTATACCCACAGCAAGGGACTTCAGTCGAGAAGTCCCACTTGTTAGCACTGAGCTCAGCTCTTTGAAGACTGGCTCGGTCAACTCGCATCGTTGTAAGCTGTAGGGTGTATATTAAATATTTGTGAAAGGTGGTACCTCATCACTGAAAAGTCAACAGAATGATAACACATGGGACCCTACCAGAGCTTTTCTAGGCGACATCCGGGTTGACGGAGGGCTTGGCAGAGCTGCAGCGCCCCCTCCTGTCCCAAATCATTCACTGACAGGTCCAGCTCAGAGAGAGAGCAGTGCTCCGACATCAAGGCCACCATTAGATGAGGACAGCAAGAACCTGTCAAATCGCTGTCGAATAATCTAAAATAAAGATATCAAAAAGGTCATCAATAGCAAAAAAGATGGATGTCAAATATTATTCATCACACGTTTATTTTATGTGTCAAAGCACACATACACATTGAGTTATTTCAACGGCAGTCTTACTTGAGGCTTCGCAGTTTGCAAAGCGGGTGTTGCAGAGACTTGCACAAAGCCTCCACTCCTCTTTCACCAATCGTGTTATGGTTCAGGTTCACTTCTCTCAACTCGGATTGGCCAGAACACAAAGCTGCAGATAATGAGTCCATGGATGCAGCAGTCAACTTGCAGCCGTGTAGCCTTCAAATAAACCGAAGAAGGTGGGTTTAAAAAAAAAAGAAGACAGATCTAACAAAAAAAGAAATGTAATCTAGAAAAAAGGTACACACTGGAGGTCCTGTAGCTTGCATAGAGGACTCTGCAGCGCTTTGCACAGCTTCGTCAAGCCCTGGTCCCCGATGTCATTAAAGGTCAGGTCTAACACACACAGCTGGGAGCTGCCTGAGGTCAGGGCTGACACCAGATCTTCACACATTGCCTCTGTCAGGTTGCAAACTGCAAGTCTGGGAACATAAAAATCAAAATGTTTAGGACTTATTAATGTGCTTTTAAGAAATGTGTGTTATGGTAAAGCATTTTTAAAAGAATGCTTTCAGCTTAAATTACTGTATTGTTTGAAGCTTGCAGTCTCTGATGCCAGCGCAGAGAATTTTAAACTTTTCATCTCCAAGGTGTGAATGTGAGAGATCGAGCTCCTTTGTGATTCCTCTGCTGAGTGCTGATGCCAGATGAGAGACGGCCCCTGCACTCAAGGAGCTCTGTGACAAGCTGGAGACACAACAGAGCAATCTTTTATAAAATATGCTGAATTAAATTATGCCTGGACATGTCAATTTCTCACCTCGACTTACCATATCTTACGTGACAAGGTCATAGTTGGAGCCAGCATCTCTGCTTGTTCCTCCGTCAGATTCCCTGTGTGGTACAGATTCAACTGCTCCAGCTCACCGAGGCACGTGATCACATAATTCAGAGCCACACAGTCCTGGAGGCTCAGGTCTCCATAGCTGATGCCTATTCGTGCTGAGGGGGTGATCATCTCTTTCACCAAACTCTCATTCTGAGTTTGATGAAGCAGATGGAAGCAGTGTTGGTGCTTTTCTTTGTGAAATCCCTTCAGTGTTTGCTCTGAGTTGCTTTTAAACCACTTCTTGAAATCCATGATCTGATCCGAGTTCAGCTCCCCCAGCAGGCTCTCCAGAGGTCTGCGCTGAAGTGGCTCTGAGAGAGCTGACAAGAAGAGATCCAGAAACTTTGCACGGCTTTTGTGCTTTTCCAACATCTTCTCTGCACCCCCGGGCGTTGAGTTGTCACAGAAGACAGAGACAGCCAAGAGGAACTCCTGCATCAGACTGGAGTGGAAGGAGAAGACACGTCTCTCTGATGGGTCACCGTGAACTTGCAGAAAAGCACCAACGGAAGTAAGAAACTGTTGAAAACCAAAGGAATTCATTTCTTCTTCGGTGCAACTCGAATGCTGATCAAGGAGGCAATGAGAAGCCATCTTGCCGAGGGCAGATACGAACTCTCTGCTGCAGGCCTCGTTCAGTGAGAGCGACTGAATCAGGTGGACCAGGATGTTTACATAGAGCTGAGATAACGTTTCAGGAAGTTTAGCACCAGCATCCATCAGAGACTTGTAAACAGAACAAACTGTCCAACAAAATCTTGGGGAAGTGCAGATATCATAAAAGCCCAAAGTCTTTTCCATGTGGATTCTTGCTTTTACTGCAGCAATCGGGTCAGGAAAGAACTTGTTGAAGTATGCTTCTCTTTGAGGCTTCAGAAACCCCAACACCTCCACCATGGTGCCGCTCAGAAACTTCAGGGATCCTGTTGACCTGGATGCAACCACAAAGGCAGCTCCTTTCAGCAGGGATCCACGAAGCAAGCTTGCCACTAAACATGGCATTGAGGCTGCCTGGCTGGGGTCAGAGCACAGGGTGTGGGCGGACGGATCCAGGCTTTGTTTGCACTGATCAAGATCATCAAACACAAACAACACCTCTGCAGGATTCTTCAGAATTAGAGGCAGTGACTCACGAGGGACTTTCCCGTGGTGGTGTAGGAGTAATGTTTCCAGGGAGAGCGTGCCAGTGAGGGAATTTAACTCCCTCAACTTGAAATGGAAAACATAAGGAAAGTTTTGAAAGTGCTCTCCTTTCGCCCAGCCCACAACTAGCTTCTCTAAAGAAGTGGTTTTCCCTGATCCCTCAGGACCTGTCAGTATCACAGATCTGGTCTCATCAGTCAGAGCCGCTTGGATGGCATGATCAAGGGAGTTGTCTTCTGCATTTCTGTCTGTCGCAAGAGCATCAGAAGTCAGCAGGGATATGTACCTATTGTTCTTTATCACACTGACAGGCAGCTCCCCGCCAAGAAGTGTTGAAATTACTTCTGGTTTCAGGATGTGTGTCAGCACAGCCACTTTGTCCATTGTGTAAATAATTGCTGTGAGAATACATAAAATACAATATAGTTAAACCAATAATGACAGTCTGCAAGAAACATGTAATGCCTGCAAATAAATTACAGTGTTATTAACTTTAAGTTACTCCCTGACTCTGACAAAATCTGTCTACCAAATCATACAGTAACAGAGCACATTTGTAATGTTCGAAAACACGGAAGTGTGTGTACAGTTACCTTGCAGTCTACGCTGTGCAGAGTCAGACAAACAATAAGAAAGTCTCGAGAAAACAGTCGGCAAGGAAAGCAGACGGGTTATTGTTTGAATGGTGGGGTACCGCCAACACTGTGAAGGCAGCAGCTGTTGCAGACGAGCTAACTGCCGAACCGATAACCGTTGCGGAACAGGAAATAAAGGGGGGTATTAAACCCTGAGCGCTGCCTTGCAGACGAGGGAGTGGCGCAATAGGAAATTGTCCTGCGACACTTTGCAACTGTTTTTATATGCTCCCAAAATTAAGTTTTGTCGTCTTACTACATTTACTCAAGAATCCAACGATTAATCTTTTTTCTTATAGGCCAACTCTCACAAGATAATAATTCTGGTTATATTCAAAAACTGTATTTATTTAGCAGCCTTATATCCAGAGAGAGTATTAATAAATGATTAAACTACCAGTTTTATATTATAGAATCCTTAAATGAACCCCACCCTTACCAGCTTCAATGCAAAAATACATACAACATTATAATACAAATATCTTAAATGGTCCCTTTTCAATAATGAGTACTTTTACTTATGAATATGTTATGCATAACAGCCATTAAGTTGTTTCAAAACTAGTTTATTCTGGTCAGAGCTCAGTCTGATATTGTCTGCAGCTAGCTAGAGTAAGCTGTATCTCCTCTTTTTGGATAGCAGTTATTACTTTTTTTTGGAAGGACATTATATGCATTTTATATGATGTGACACAAGTCAGCTACTGCTGACTTTTTTTATCATGTTTTAATGAAGATTTGAAGAAGAGAGTAACCAAATACACTGCAATTAATTACTACCCAACAAAAAGAAGGACACATGATCATGCAACTGAGCACATCTTTATTAAAAACACAGGAAGTGGTCATTCATGTTTCATTCAATGGGAGAGGAAGTAATGGTTAGTTGGTACAGCTGTCTTAATGTAGGTTACAATGAGATTAATGCAAATGTTCGAGTTAAATGGTCAAGGGGATCCAGCAGGCTAATATATTGTAGGTTTTTTCTGCATTAGTTCCATGTTGATATGTCTTGGGTCTCCACTGTCTTGATGAGGATTGCACTTTGCCTTCGTGGCCTGGGGTTGTCAACATGGACGGCTGTTGTGGAGAGGATGGTGGACAATGTTACTTACAGTCACACACATACACACAGTCATAACAATTCTGATACAAATGCTAAAAATCTCCAGTATAAAAGTTCTTACTTTGGTTTTGCACAGTTTGGATGTTCACAATAGAGTCCTGTCCAATTCTATGAGTGAGAAAGCAGAAATTGGATAAATACATAAAAATGCTAGCCCTGATGTTGAATATAATTGTTTTTTAACAGGAATTCACTACATTTAAAAAAAATAAAAGTCTGTTTCCAGTTTGTTTTTAAGTGTGAAATAAGCTCATTGTTGCCACTTGTTGGGGGAAAACCGTAACTACAACTGCGGGTGTCACCGACTCACCAACCATTAAATACCAGAGACTTCATGGATGAAAACAAACTGGATTGTTAGGTTTGCAAATGTGGGTCAGATCAACAACTTGAAAAAAGCAGACCAAACTGTTGGTGGTCGAGTTTACTTGAAATAATTATGGGCAACAGGTTTTGACTGGGTTTGGGGCACAATCGTGATATTTTTGTAACTCTTCATCTAGTGTCCAATAATGACGTTTATTACAAGGCTGAAAATCAATTAAATTTTTTAGAAATGCCCCCATCGAAAACCTTATTTGCCCTTCAACCATATCCAGATATCATGTGATGAGAACTTGACAGTGTTGAGATCTACCAATACCACACACCTTTCCTCCTCTCCCTCCAGCAGTTTCCTGTAGGTGGAGATCTCTATGTCCAGGCCCAGCTTGACATTCATGAGCTCCTGGTACTCTCTGAGCTGCAGAGCCATGTCATGCTTTGCCCTCTGCAGAGCCCGCTCCAGGTCCTTGATGCGAGCCTTGGCATCCTGCACGGCCCCCTCCCCGCGCTGCTCAGCTTCAGTTACCTGGCCCTCAACGTTGGCACGCTGAAAAAATTTCAGGAATGGATGGTGTCGGAATTGAATTACACCTTTCAGCAAATAAAATGTAAGGCTCAACGGAAGCATTACCGTCAAACTGTAAGACTAAACTACAAATGTAGTCACTTTTGACTCATAACATACCAGACACTCTATAAACCTTTCACTCACCTGTGACTCTACAGCCAGGATCTCATTCTGCAGGCGGCTGATCATTCGATTGAGCTCAGATATTTCCCCCTTGGAACTGCGCAGATCACTGCCATACTGATCGGCTGTGGCTGTGATCTGGTCAAACTGGTGACAGCAGATAACAAACAGAGGATGTGAGATCAGTAATTATCAGGTTTGACAAGGGCGGTACATGTAAAAAAAACAGGGTCTTCTAGTAGATTTACGAGCTTTAGCTTACTGCTGAACCCATTCATGTTTCTAGTTTGAGAAACTGGTTTTTACTACAGATTTCATGATATAAATGATTATTCATTATTTGTAGTTTTTTACCTTGCTCTTGTGCCAGTTTTCAGTTTCTTGACGACTGCGACCAGCAATGTCCTCATACTGAGCCTTGACGTCTGCCACGATCTGATCCATGTTCAGAGCTCGGGAGTTGTCCATCTGCACCACCACAGAGGTCATCTTCAGGCTGTCCTGCAGCTCACACAGCTCCTTTTAAAAACAAATACATACAGCAACGGTATGAAGAGAAAATCCAGAACACAACAAGCTGCATATTTTTCCTTATATTTGAAAAATGTTGCGTTTGCGTACCTGGTCATACATAGCCTTGAGGAAGTTGACTTCATCACTTATCATAGACACCTTGTCATGTAGATCCACCTTGGACATACAGCCTGCGTCCACATCCTGCGGGCAGCCAGAAAACAAACAAACACACTTTTCTTAATGTTTAAGCTTTTCCTGTGTTTTTACAAAAACTTTTTTTACACGTTAAGAAAATAATTAACTCTCATAGCCATCGGGACTGCATACTTTACCTTTTTGATCAGGACAAACTCATTCTCCGCATCATTTCTTTTGTTGATCTCATCCTCATACCTGAAAAAAACCAGTATATTGGATTAATCATGCAAAACTTGCACATCAGAACATGTCTTAAATCTCAAAATTAAAAAGAAGTTCATTTTCTTTCGCACTTACTTTGTCTTGCTGTCGTTCACACTTTTGTGCATGACATTGTTCTCCATGTCCAGTCTGTGTTTGTCATTGTTGAGAAAGTCCAGGTGCTGCTGCAGGCTGGCGATGTAGGACTTCAGCATGGGTTCAACAGAAGAGGAGGCGGTGGTCTGTCCCTTCATCATATTCCACTTGGTCTCCATCATTTTGTTCTGCTGCTCCAAGTGCCTCACCTGTGGCACAATTAGAAAATACCCTCCAAATCAAACATCTTTTGTAGTGATAATATAATTGTTGGATTAAATCTGACATTCAAAATCCCTCAGCAAGAGTTGAGGAGAAATGTTCTCTTACCTTATCAATGAATGTGACAAAACGATTGTTGAGACCCTTGATCTGCTCTTTCTCCTTGTTGCGAACCATTTGGATGTTGGGGTCGATGTCGACGTTTATCGGGGTGAGCAGGCTCTTGTTGACGGTCACGGCTTTAATGGAAGCCCCCTGATAACCCCCGCTGCTCATCCTGGGGATGGAGTAGGATCCCATGGACATGCTGCTGAAGCCCTCTGAGGATGTGCCTAGTCCTGGACGGCTGCTGCGCTTGCTTCTCATACTCATGGTTGAAGATTTCACTGCTGAAGTGGATGGAGAGGTTCGGTGGTGGTTGAGCTCTGTTTGTTGATCCTTTCATCTTTTGGGTTCTTTATAGGCAGGTGTGGGTGTGGCGCGAAAAGGAAGTTATGAGGCTTCCCAATGTTGGTAAACCAGTCTGTCACATACCACCTGTTCTCCCACCTACCCCCTCAGTCAAGGTTGCATTGTTACAGCTACGCTGGAATTCAAGCCTGCTCCTCGGTTTCAGGTGTGCCGCACTTGAATAATAATGAAGGGGTTTCTGGAGGAAAGCACTGGGTACTTGCTAAATTAAAAAGAAGAAATGTGATTCAAGAAGTATTGAATAACCAAAATCTTTACTGATAAAGGTTTAAAGCGTGTGTAATCTGAATAATTAATTACATTGGCTTTGTGGCCAAATGAGATTCCATTGCAGCACAAGAGGAAACAGATTAATGGCATTTGGCTCACCTCGTGCTGTCCGGAGTTGTGTGTGTTGTGCCACTGTTTTATTGTGTTATTTTTTTTACTGTTTTATGGTCTGATGCATAAGAATGTATACCCTTATGGAGCACTTATTGACCTGTGCTTTACTAAATAAAGTTGTATTTCTCTAGTGCTTTCCTTTCACCAACAGGTGACACTATCTGCTAAATGGCAAATGTCAATTGATAAGGTTCTCCAAAAAAGGGACAATAATAATCTGTACACAAATATCTAGAACATGTACCTTGTCAGATGTACTAGTTTTGTGAGAGCCTTATCACAAATCTTTTAGTTAACTTCCTGAGATTATACAAATATGATAACATTTGTTATCACATCAGTTATCAACCTTTTCTTTGTGTTAACAGTTAAAATACCTGTTGGAACTGTTACAAACATACTGACACAATGTAAAACGTTATGTCTGTACTGTATGTTGGGGACACCCGGTTGTAAACAAAAGACTGGGCTGTCTCAAACAATCTTTTATAACTTGTATCTCCTTTTAACTCTCCTATTTCTTTAAAGATGGATTACCCAATCAGCTTCTTGCTTTAAAATAACAACCAGCCCTACAGAGAAAACAAGTCTCTCATCAGGTGTGGTTTTATTCTGGAGTTAAGACTGTGCCACTGAACCTGCTCATTCTAGGTGCGTAATGCTGGGAGAAGAATAGCTGTGACTGTGACTGTGTTGTATTTATATATATAAAGAAATACTGAATTATTTAACAGATGTATTTTTACAGTCTGTATTAGCACTTGTCAGATATGAAGATCGCCTCGTTTAACGCACAGAGGTTCGGACAGGCCAAAGTCTCAGATCCAGACGTCCTGTCAGCTCTTGTCAAGGTAACACTCCTCTTTGGTAGACATTGTTATTCAGTAAAAGATCTGTAATGATAACGATAAGGCTGTCGTTTGGAAAAAGCATGGTTCGTGTCACTTTTTTGTGATCTTTGGGATGCAGCCAAGAACGAACAAGTAATAATTGGCGGTTTGAATTATGAAGTGTAAAATGTTTCCTTGATGACATCTTGATAATCACAACTGCTTTTGATAAGGCTGTAATTTATTCAATTTGAGAGAAATAAATATCACAAATGACATGCATTAATATAATGTGTCCTTTTTCGTCTTTTGTAGATTGTGTCACGATACGACATCATAGTGATTATTGAGGTGGTGGATGTGACCGGAGCTGCCGTCAAACTGTTCTTAAAAGAACTAAATGAGTGAGTTTACCTCTTCTTTTTTAAAGAAAATATGTTTTTTGTTGTTTTAACTATGCGAACGCGTTCTTGATTGTCTTATCAGAGTCAACACGACCCATCACTATGCTCTGCAGCTCAGTGTCCGACTGGGGAGGAACAGATACAAGGAGCAATTTTTGTTCCTTTACAGGTAAGATCAAATCACTTTGCCAGACTTTAATACTTTTGAAAAGTTACCATCAAACTGCACTAAAATACATTTTTGTCCCACTAAAAGGGATGATGTTGTTGATCTGGTTGACAGCTATCAATATGAAGACAACCAAGTGAACGACATGGATGCCTTTGCCAGAGAACCATATATTCTCCGCTTTAAACCACACAACACAGGTCAGTCCTACCATGAGTATAAGAAAAACAGGGTGTTGCAGTTTGGATATCAAAGTATAATGACATACTCGCCATAACACCTGTGTTGCGTCTGAGTCATGTCTATATATGGACCGAAGCAGAGGGCAGGTATATCAGGTTATGTCAGTCAACGGCTCCGGTGTGCGTTCACATGTAAGATAAGAGGTGGGAAAAGATCTTGTACTTCAGTAAAAGTAGAAGTACCAGAGTGTAGGAATACTCAAGTAACACGTAAAAGTCCTGCATTCCAAATCCTAATATATTAGCATAAAAATGTACCAGAAGTAAAATAACTCATTATGCAGATTGGTCCATTTCAGAATAATATATATTATATGTTTTGATTATAATTATTGATGCATTAAAGTGTTATCAAAGCTGGTAAAGGTGCAGGTAGTTTTAATTACTTTATATACTGCTGTGTCGCTTGTGAATTTACTCCAGGTGTAACTATTGTCTTAGTTAAGTGTTGATTACATTTTACATAATCAAGCCACATCTGCAAAGTAACTAAAGGTGTTAATAAATGTAGTGGAGTAAAAGTACACGATATATCTCTGAATTGTAGTGGAGTAGAAGTACAAAGTAGCAGAAAATGGAAATACTCAAGTAAAGTAAACGTATCTCAAAATGTTACTTAAGTACAGAACTTGATTAGATGTACTTTACTTTACACCACTGTGTGAGATACGTCGTGACGGGGCATGTAATCGGAGAGATGATCATTTGTTTATGTCTGTGGTTGCAGTGCTGAAGGACATAGTGCTGATCCCGGTCCACACCAAGCCGTGGGACTCTGAGCGAGAGCTGGATGAGCTGTATGACGTCTGTCTGGTGGTCAAAGACAAATGGAAAACTGATGTGAGTTGCATGATGTTCAGTATTCAATTTTCACGGTTTCAAATAAAAGAAGTGCTTTAATATGTTCAAGGTGGACCAGATGTATTACCATACAGTGGAACAAAGTATTCTAAGCGGATATAAATGTAATATAGGTAAATCTGTGATATAAACATTCAGGTAAATAAAGTCAAGCTTAAAGTCATAGCAAAATACTTGAATTGCTTGATTTACTGTAAATAATCAAATTGAGTTGAGTCTGCTTTACACAATAAGTATTAAACAAAGACTATTCATGCTTCATCTACATAATAACCTGCAAAAAGCTACTATAATTTTGAAATAGATTAAGCAGGTTATTTGTTTTAATCAGTGGACATACCTTATTTTATACTCCCATATCAGAGGAATCACACAAACTGTATGGGCTATAAAATATGTTTAAATAATGTTTTGACATGGCTTTCTTGATTACATTTCTTTTATCAGCACTCAAAATGGCAATTTCTGATTTATTTTAGAACATAATGATCCTGGGGGATTTCAATGCAGATGGTGTGTACGTCACCCCTAAGGAGATGCAGGAGATTCGCATCCGCAGCGACAAGAATTTCCATTGGCTAATCCGTGATGGCGTGGACACGATGGCAAGAACGTCAAACGAACACACCTACGACCGGCATGTGTTCATTCATAAACACCCATAAATTCAGAGGACATTGCTTAAATTGTGGCATACTATTTCTGTCAGGAAGAAGCATTTTTGACCTTATATTTAAACAATGGAATACATTTATTTACCACAGGATTGTTGTGTATGGAGAAGATATGCTTACAGCCTTTGTGCCAAACTCAGCCAAGCCATTTAATTTCCACAAAGAGTTTGCTATGACTGAAGAAAAGGTGAGTTGTCCCTCATACTGCATCTCATTGTCTCAAAGTTAAATCTCATCTAATAACCAACATGTTCTGCACTTGCATAACTTGTTTCTCTTTTTTTGTGGCAACATTTCTCACTCATTATGTGCATCCTCCCACAGGCCCTGAGGGTGAGCGACCACTACCCTGTGGAGGTAGAGTTACGTAAAGCCCCTCCTTTCTGGATGACAAAGAGCAACCGAAGAAGTGACAGTGTTGATTCATCAGTTCACAGAGCTGTCACAGGTAAAAAACAAAACTGTAGAAACTGTATTTTACTGACAGACATGAATTTAAGTAAGTGGGAGAGGTGCAAACAGTACTTTGTTTAGACATTTCACTGCAGTGGGGCCCTTTTCAAAGACAGTCATGCACATAATGAAAAGGAATGCTTGGAATTTGGGAGTGTTTCTTGTAAAAAATAATTAGTACTTGCCTTACAGCTTTAGTCAAAAGCTTTACTTTCGAAAAGCAGAGGCTTTTAAAATGTTTGGGAGGAGAAAACTATTTTTAAACAATTAAAATATCTTTATTGTGATGGTGCAGAAAAAACATGTTTGTTATTAAGTCTAATACAAAGATGTCAATTAATTGTTTAAAAGGAGAGTCTTGTGATTTGTGTACATGCTTTACATTTGTGGATTGACCAAATCCAATGCTTCTACAGAAATCTCAGTAAACACCAAAACCAATAATATCCTGTGTACTTCCTTTGTGTCCAAAGCCTGAATGATAGAATCCTTTGTGCCATGCTGTAGACCTTTACTACAAAGCCAAACCACAGTTACGCTAGTCAAAATCAGAAATGACTTTTTTTCATCCATTTTTTTTAAACTATTAAAACTCACTTCAATTAGTTTATATCCAACAGCCTTACCCACAAGAACGCCAAATCCAAGGCATGAAATATTTTCCAAAACATACACTCTTTCTCGTGTTAAAGTAAAGTTCAGTAAAAACTGGGGTCAGGCTGTTTAAGGTGGTCTTCAGACGAAATGTGCTTGGGGCTGAAGTCTCTGACAAGGCAGGAAGTTGAAAAGTATTTAGAGGCACAAACACACTAAATGCATTCAATGTGTTTTCCTCTCTCTTTACTTTTTTCATTTTGCTGAAAATAACAACAGATTACAATCAGCCTTTAAGATAAAAGCATAGTCTACTAACACTTGTGTTTATTTTCTCTTGTGCACTTGAGTAAATGTTTTAAATTATGCCATATTTCTGCAGACTTCAACCCAAACATTGAGGCACTAAAGCCCAATAATTTGCGAGACCATGGCAATTTTAACTAAAAGTTGAAAAAAATAATCCAGTGACAGTTATTACACACTATGCCTGTAATTAATTAAGTGTTTTTTTCCTCTTACAGAAAGTCTGCAGGATGATGTGTTGAAACTGCAGAAGGAAAACCTCCTGCTGGAGCGAGAAAAACTTCAACTACTGATCACTTTATTAAAACAGCGGCTTTCCACACTCAAGCTGAAACAATGACAAGATCTCAAACACGACTGATTTTGCAAAGCTGTATGTATGTATGTATGTATGTATGTATGTATGTATGTATGTATGTATGTATGTATGTATGTATGTATGTATGTATGTATGTATGTATGTATGTATGTATGTATGTATGTATGTATGTATGTATGTATGTATGTATGTATGTATGTATCTAATCAGATAAATAGCAGTGGATGAAACATCGTGGCCTGACTGTATTTAAAGTTTGTCTGGCCCCAGTGTGAGGAATGGTGTGCACTGGGGAGGGATATGGTTCACTTGAGATTTATTGACCATATAATTTCACTTGACCTCCTAAAGACTTTGCTCTAGTAGTTGAGGCCGTTCCATCAGGTGCCATAATTATATAGGAATGTTGTTAGGTTTGCACCAAGATGCATTTCTTTCGCAAACTCCGCTGAACTGGTAGAAATGTGTTTCTCAATAGACACAAAACATTTATGCAGTTTTCAAAGAGATCCTGTCTAAATTCCATATTGAGCATGTTGCACTCAGTTTGTAATATATGTTGGAAGAAGGTTACTATGCATTATCATAAATATCTAATTGTTATTAAAGTTAAGGAAGTGTCATTCACAATTATCATGAACATTAACCTGCAACTATTTAGAAATAAAAAAAGACATACCAAGAATAGTTCTGTGATAAATATTCAGAAAACACAATTGTTGGCATTGTTCTCAAGATATTCTGGAAAGACCTTTGCAGATTTGTCATTAATCATTTTAAAACTTTACATCAAATAAATAAGTATTTTTACAAAACCAAACAAATAATAATACATTTACATAATACAAAAAAAGTATTAATGTGAATGTAAGGAAAACATAATATTGGTGTGAGCAATATGTAAAACTATTGTCTAATTTGATAATCAAAAAGTCTACCTAGAATCCGTGTATCTACCGTCCAATTGTTTTTCTTTATTAAACACGTAAACGGAAGAGCGTTTGAGAGGCCTTTTTGCTTTTTACCTTACTAAATGGGGCGGGGCGAAACTCACGGAAGTGATTTCAAAACAAAAGCGATAATATTATAAACAAAGGGAAACAAGGTGAATTTAGCGATCACAACACATATTGAGCCCAGAAAATGAATGTTATTAAGGGCTGTAAATATAATAAGCCTCTGTCTAAAATGGACAACATTGTTAGGAGATTTAAACTATACAGTGATTCTGCACTGCGGTCACTCAGCCGTCTCTCGCGTTTGTTTTTTCAAATCAGCTGCTCTTCATTCCTGCTATATTTGATGAGTGATACAAATATGTTTTACCACAAGTTCTTAAGGAAACTGACTCTGTTGGACTCGGTACTAGTTTGACTTCTACCAGAAATAAAATGAAGTACTTTTACTGTGTACTTTGTGAGTAATCCATCTATCAGTCCCCTCAATGCATGTTTTTCTGCTATCTTTGATGAATGATAAAAATATCATTTTGCCATTAGTTCTTAATGAAATTGATACTGTTTGACTTTGTATTAGTTAGCCTACTACTAACAATACATTGAAGTACTTTTACTGTGTATTTTTTGAGAAATACTCTGTCAAAGTCCCCTGCTGAGAACACAATCAAGCCACTTCTGCTAAGTTTGATGAGGGAATTCTTTTTTGTTGCCATTAGTTCTTCCTGTTGGACTCAGTACTAGTGAAACTACCCCCACAAGTAGTATGAAGTACTTACTGTGTACTTTTCCAGTACTCCTCTGTCAATGTCCCCTCCTGAGAACAAGAATGCATGTTTCTCTGCTATTTTGAATAAGCGTTAAAAAACCTTTCTTCATGAGACTGAAATTGTTGGACAGAGTATTTTAAGAGGATATGGTAGACTTGAGATCAGCAATACTTCCAGTCAGTACTCCGGCAGCAGCATTTGTACCCCTTGGAAAGTCTTTAGAGTCTGGCCTGGATAGCTGGTCTATCCTTCAGCACACTGACACACCTTGTCACTCTTGTTGGCCTCTTATGAAGCTGCTGTCTTTTAAAATATGATTATTTCTCTGCTCCTGGTTCATTCCTTCTCAGATTCTTCCATCAGTCCCAGTCATTGCATGTCAGTCAATAGAGCTTTGAAAAATGTGTCCAATTCAACAAAATGTTGTTTTGTGAGTGAAGGCCAGAGCTAAATTATAGATTGTTTGATTGTGTAATTACAAGGTGAGAGAAAATAAATCCACATCCTCCTATGAAACGTATTTTATTTCCTTTTCCATGTTATACTTATACTTACTTGCCTTAGAACATTTGCATGTTGAACTACATGATATCTCCCCCAGCCTCAAGGAAATACAATAACATAAATGGATTCATAATTTTAAAAAATTGATACAAATGTATACATTAATAATGTTGTGTGCAAACATTTCAAATTTAAATATAAAATGAAAAATAAGTTTACTTTTGAAATGATTTCTCACAAAAACCTTTCTAAATTATAGTAAACTATTAAAAAAGGTTTGGTCAATACGTTTTTCTGCCTAAAATAGTTGAAATTTAATGTAAATATCAAACACCACATGCATGGCAGTTAACCCATTTTTGCCCGCTATTTAAATTGACTTTGGTTGAAGTTAATACAAATATTGATGGTTTGTTTAAATAACTAGTGACATTTTAATAAATATTGCAAAAAAGGGCTCCAAAAAAGGCATATATAACCTGGCCGGCTTAGCCAGTGTGTATTTTTTCAAGCACCACAAGATTCAGAGTTTATAAAGTACAATTCTGGGCCATTGATTGTGTAATTTCTCCAAACACATACAGTAAAAATGCCTGTTTTGAAGCCTTCAAATGGTGCAGGAAAAGGACTTTACATTGTATTATATTTAAAGACAGGACTATTCAGTTAAGAGAAGAGAAAAAAGGAAAGAAAACCGTTATAATGGGTGATGTAACATTAATGACAGACATAATATGAGGTCCTTGGCACTCGGACTCTAGGGGTCATTTGGTGATCATGGGGCATCACCCTTACAGCATCAGGACAAAATCATATGGAGTCAGACACTGGAAGTGTGCAGGAGGCTGATGCGTTGGATGGAAGGATGAGGCTGATGAGACTGAAGAATCTGTGACGAACTAGCGGCTGAGAAATAACCATAAAAAAGACAGCAGCATCATCAATAGGCCAACAAGAGTGACAGAGTGGGTCAGTGTGCAGTCTACCATCCTCTTAAAATACTCTGTCCAACAATATCAATCTCATGAAAAAAGGTTTTTTAACGCTTATTCAAAATAGCAGAGAAACATGCATTCTGGTTCTCAGGAGGGGACATTGACAGAGGATTGTTGGTAAAGTACACAATAAGTACTTCATAGTACTTGTGGGGGTGGTTTCAGTCGTACTGAGTCTAACAGGATCAATCTCACGAAGAACTAATGTCAACAAAAAACAATTCCCTCATCAAATTTAGCAGAAGTGGCTTGATTTTGTTCTCAGCAGGGGACTTTGACAGAGTATTTCTCAAAGAATACACAGTAAAAGTACTTCAACGTATTGTAAGTAGTAGGCTAACTAATACAAAGTCAAACAGTATCAATTTCATTAAGAACTAATGGTAAAATTATATTTTTATCACTCATCAAAGATAGCAGAAAAACATGCATTATGTACTATGGAGGGGACTCTGACAGAGGATTACTCACAAAGTACACAGCAAAAGTACTTCATTTTATTTCTGGTAGAAGCAGTGCTGGAATTGGGCCGGTACTCACCGGTACGCAGTACCGGCACTTCTGGTTTTGACCCATGGAGTACCGGCACTTCTTGCTCAGTACCGGCATGCTGGCGGTACTCCGGTACTCATGCACCGTGCCAGTACTCAACACTCTCCCGCCGTTCTTATTATACATCCATATATATATATACAGCCGCCCGGTACTCAGTAGATGCGTCATGAGGTGCCGAACGGACATTCTCATCGCTCTAACCGCTGGAGTTTCACAGCGGCTGTCAGCTGTTTACTCCTGTCATTCAAACAGAACGTGCTGGAGAGGGGGCGGGGTTTATCTTCTCCATGTAAATACTGTGGTGGAAACGACTATGTCAAAATTAACCTATTTGACCGTGATTTAATAGTAATACACGTTTCAAAATAATAATAATAATGCCGAAGTAACAACATACTGAAAACTGTTAGTAAAACCATGTTTTAATGCTTTACAATTTACATACCTAGATGCACGTGTGTTGTGTTTATGCAGTGCAACTCCCACCCAGTGGGTGGCTATGTAGAGTGATAGAACAGAGCAGGCACGCCCCCGAGAGAAGGAAAGCAAGTCACGTCACAAATGAGCATTTCTAAAATGTTAGCTGGATTAATAAAAGTGCAAAAAGACAGCGGTTGTCGCCGGAAGAAACTTCAAATACAGAGAATGCTGTGCCTGTGTTGGAAATTGTGTCTGATGGGGAGCTTTCTTTGGTTGATCCTCCTGCTCCAAGTTCTAGTGCATTAGCATTAGCACTAGCTCCGCCGCCTCCTCCAGAGCCTCTAACGTTAGCTGCTGCTGGCGCAACTGCCACCACCAACACCGGGCAAAGCGATGCACCTGACTGCTGGACAACGGACCAGGTGCAATATTTTTGCAAGACCAATGCATGGCTCCTTCTTAAAGATAAGAAGCTAGGATGTCGGATATGCAGAGATGTCAAATCTTTGGGAATACACACTGGACAAGGACTGAAACTGTCAACTGAATGGGGTGAGTGTGCAGTGTCTCATTTCGGTGTTGACAAGAGCAAACAACAAGCTAGCCTGAGAAAAAAAATCAAAGAACATAAAGAATCACAAGCCCATGTAAAAGCTGCTGACATCCTTACATCTGCTTCACGGGAAACTATTCAACATCAAGTGCAGTCTATGCATAAATCTGAATTAGACACCACTATCAGAGTTTTTCGAACGGCATATAAAATTGGCAAACATAGCCGGCCATTCACAGACATGCCAATTGAATTGAATGTACAGAAACTGAATGGGCTGAACGTGGGCAGGGTTTTGCACTCCAATAAAACCTGTGGCGAAATCATCGACCACATAGCTCATGAGCTGAAGAAAAAAATGGCAAAAGACATTACAGAAAACCAAAGAAAACTCTGTGTTTTGGTCGATGAATCTACCACTATTAGTGGTAAAACGGTGCTTGTTGTGTGTCTACGCTCAGCATTAGCTGATGCTGAGCCCGAAACGTTTTTTTGGGAGCTGATCGAGTTGGATGGAACAACGGCTGATGACATCACAAAGGCGTTAATGGAGTGTCTTGGAAGAGATTTTAACGAGGACTTTTTAGGTCAGTGTTTCGTTTCTTTTGCATGTGATGGGGCTTCAGTCATGCTAGGGAAGAGAACAGGCGTTGCTACCCAGTTGTGTAGTAAATTCCCAAGCCTGTTTGTGTGGCACTGCTCCAATCATCGTCTAGAGCTGGCAGTTGGGGATGTGGTCAAGGAGGTCTCAGGGCTCAATCATTTCCAGATCTTTTTTGACAAACTCTATTCCTTGTTCCATGCCTCCCCCAAAAATCAGAGGCAGTTAGTGCAGTGTGCGCAAGCAGTCGGACAGCGTCTCCTGGTGATAGGGCGTGTTTTGTCCATCCGCTGGGTGGCTTCAAGTGAAAGGAGCGTCAGAGCAGTCTGGGAAAACTACCGAGTGCTTCATGATCACTTCACAAATGCTGCAAACGACACGAGCAGGGATTCCAGAGACAGAGCAAAGTACAAGGGCCTGGATGATGTGCTCACATCTGCAACGTTTGTCAGCAATCTGGGACTGATGTAAGATGCGCTCACAGAGCTCAGCGACCTCTCTCGGCAACTCCAAAAAAGAGAGATGACACTGCCTACAGCAGATAGGCTCTTAACTCGAGAAATACGAGTTTTTGAATCCATGGTCACCATGCCTGGCCCACACATGACTACAGTTCATACAGCTCTAGCTGAGAAGTCCTTCAAGGGTGTTGCCCTGCGTGAGAATGGCAGGCTTGTACAGATTCATGCAGGTCAGTTTTTCCGCAGTATGGTAGAGAATCTGAGACACAGAATGACTTCCACAACCTCCTCTCATGTCAGCACAAGAGAAATCCCATTACATGGCCGGGAGGCCCGGGACAATCAGCTAATCCAGGACATGAAAGTTATCCATCCTGGAAGTTGGCCTGAAGAGGAGTTAGACGTACAGTATGGGGACGTAGAGGTGCTACGTTTGTGCGAAGTGCTGAAAGTGGACAGAAGAGAGACTGTTCAGGGCTTTCGCGAATACAAGGAAACCAGGGCATCCCGTACACCTGCTGCCATGGAGCCTCTACTGAAAGCAGTCCGAACCATCGCTGTCTCCACTAGTGAGTGTGAGCGGGCATTCAGCTGCATGAACGATATCCTTACTGCAAAAAGGAATGCTCTCTCTGTCAGCCGACTGTCCAGCCTGGTTTTCATTAAATGTAATGGACCATCACTAGGACAGTTCAATCCGGAACAGTATGTGAGGTCCTGGCTGGCAAAGGGAAGGAGAAGTGCTGATGAAAGAGCCTGTCCAGCTCCAGCCCCTGATACTGATGTCCCCAAGGCCTTCTGGAGCCTTTTCTAACAATGTGAAGTAAAGCAAAGCAGCTCACCCAGTGAGAAGACTTTTGGCATAATGTGCCGATTTGTACAGATCCTGGAGATAGAAGGACTTCAGACCAACCAGGGAGTTATCTGATCAGCTTGGTGTTCAATGTAACTCTTTACCATGGCTCAGACTTTGTTACTTGCAGTTACAGTTTCTCATTTTAGATTGTGCAAATTTTGCATTTGTTTTTACATGTTCTTTGTTCATGCTCTTTATCATTTTTCTGAGTTGGAAAGTTAGATTGCATCATAGTTTACTTTATACATATTTGTATTCTTCAGTGGTGAAGTATATTGCAAAGCAGCTCAGCCATGTGAGAAGACTTTTGGCACTTTTTCGTTTTTCGTTTTCTGAGTTGGAAAGTTAGATTGCATTCAAAATGTACAGAAATACTTAATTTTGTTAAAGCTTTTTATAAAAAATGCTTCTGACCAGAGCTTTGTTTCCTTGTCATTAATGTTGAACACCACCAGAGGGGCTCTCACCTGAAAGGTCTCTGCTTCATGTGTCTTCAGCAGAAGATCTAGACTTTGATTGCTATATTTTCAGTTAATATTGACCTTACTGAGCTTTAGCCATATCCGCTGCCTATCATAAAAAATGTTAAGTACAGTGAACCTTTCTAAAATATACAGTAGTAAAGAGACAAACCCACCAGCATTATAGTAGCCAAATTCTTGTTTGTGGGCTGTATATATAAAATTGACTTGAAAAAGTTGCTGATTTTAGAGTACTGGCACCTTTTTCATTCCAATTCAAGCACTGGGTAGAAGTCAAACTAGAACCGAGTCCAAGAGTGTCAGTTTCCTTAAGAACTTGTGGTCAAACATATTTGTATCACTCGTCAAATATAGCAGGAATAATGAAGAGCAGCTGATTTGAAAAAAAAACGCGAGAGACGGCGGAGTTGACCTGCAGAACCGCTGTATAGTTTAAATCTCCTAACAATGTTGTCCATTTTAGACATAGGCTTATATTTACAGCCCTTAATAACATCAATTTTCTGGGCTCAATATGTGTCGTGGCCGTTTTCGTTGTGATCGCTAAATTCCCCTTGTTTATAATAATCGCCGTTCCTTCAGTAGGATAGCCTACTGTAGTGATTCAAAGTGTGATTTTAGCAAACGAAACGAGTGCTTTTGTTTTGAAATCACTTCCGTGAGTTTCGCCCCAACCCTCGCTCCAAGGACCATTTGACCATTTAGTAAGGTGCAGAGCCATATAATAGAAGAGTTACGACAAGGGAAGTCCAAAAACGGTTATGTCATGTGGTTCATGTAGACGAGGATCGTTCCCCGGAAGTTCATGGCGGGCAATGTGAATGCATCTAGCCATAGATATATATAAACACTAGATGGCTCATGGGAGATTTTCCAGCGTAGCTGACCGGCCGCCATCTTGCTACAGTCAACAGTTACTCTGATTTGCGCTATGGTAGCTGTTGTAAGGTGAGTGATCTGCACAAAAATACTCTTAACTCGCTGAAATCTTGACTGATTTACAAACGGTTTGGTTTATTATAAACATTATTAGCATGGCTATGATACAGGATGCTTGGACATGTTGAAATTGCAGCTTTTCTTTGTATATGTGGTTGTATTTATTAGCTGGCTAATAACAAGAGGCTGTGAGTGAGACCTATATTACAAAGTTGACCCAGCAACTTTACACCAGTGGGAGAGGCAGAACTGCTCTTTCTTTTCAACATAACTTAAGTTACACATGATTTCTTCCAAGTGGTTTGGCTTGTTAAAAACATCTTGCATTATGATACAGGAATTTGCTGGCTTTGTGTTTACAGAAGTACCTGACTATGCCGGACTTTTGTGCAGCCTACGGCTGCTCTAATCACCGCAGTCTGCAAACAAGAACCCGTGGGATCACCTTTCACCTGTAAGATATGACAATATTATGACTAAAATTAGGATAATCGTTAATTACTTAGTGGATGTATGTACATTACAAGTCCTGCTACACAGGATCAGTGGGGCTATGTGAGATAATAGTATTGCAAGATTGTTGTTGACCCAGCCTCTTTAGAATATGTTGCTACCATTTCTTTACACAATTATGTAATGTTTCTTTTGGACACCTTTTTTATTACTCTTAGTGTGGTTGTCTTATTCTTAAAGTAGGCTATACATACATACCAAAAATATGATAATTTCGGTGTGTATTTTTGTCCTTACCCTTAATGTTAAAGGAAATAAGGGAGGAAAATGTTGACAATAATTTATATATCTGGCTACCTTTCTCATGTTTTTAAGGTTTAAGGCAGTGGGAACTCGCCCTAAGAAGAGACGGTTTTGTTTCCTGTGACAGGACACTGCTCTGCAGTGAGCACTTCAGGAGTGAGGAATTTGACCGGACAGGGCAGACTAATGGCGAATCGCTACCACTAGGAGCATATATCGCCACCTACTATGTATTTATTAAATCTTCATGTTCCATGAGACGCAGCACTATGTTCCCCACATATGTTTATGTTTGCTCAGTCTAATAAACCCATAACATGGTTGTGAAAGAATACCAAAGCTGAGGCTGGACGATGATTGATTGTTGGTGTGCCATGTGTCACCGTGTGTCTTATTGGTTTTGTGTTATACTGTATTTTATTGTGTGCAGCTGGTCCTTATCTCTAAGACACATTTAAAACAAATAACCTTGAACCTTGAAGCCCCATCTCTCCCCACCTGCTCCTGCTTCCTACATCCCCTCCACACCACACCAAGTTGTTCTTCTTAATAATAATAATAATACATTTATTTTGGGGGGCCGCCTTTCCCAAGGACCCAAGGACACCTTACAGGGGCATAGGGGCAAAATAGGGAACAATTTAAACAGTGGATTTTGTGATATATCAGCCGGGGTGAGACAAGACAAACCACAAATGGACTACAGAATGACACAAAAGGACACATGGTACAGTTTATATTATTCTTGGTCTTTTTTCAATAACATATTTCAAAGGTTCTGGATTTGTTTACAAATCTAGAAACTAAATACAAAACTAGTATAGTAATATGAAGATCTCATGTCAAAAATAATTGTGATAAATTAGACAGAACTGGCCTGTCTGTGAGCACATTTTATGTTGGTTTGGTTCTTCTGATAAAGGTGTGAATATCTAAATAATATACCAACATATGCTATTGTCATTAGTTATGTCCCTGTTCTTAAAGCTAAGGCATTGCTAAATTAACAACTCTTGGCTTACAGAGTGGTAACATGAGACCGATTTTTATATATCAAATATAAATGTATTTTAATTTTATAATTTATTTTAAATATTAACAATATAATAAAATTAATGGAAATATATACGCCGGCAAATATTTAATATAAAGTGTGTGTGTGTGTGTGTGTGTGTGTGTGTGTGTGTGTGTGTGTGTGTGTGTGTGTGTGTGTGTGTGTGTGTGTGTGTGTGTGTGTGTGTGTGTGTGTGTGTGTGTGTGTGTGTGTGTGTGTGTGTGTGTGTGTGTGTGTGTGTGTGTGTGTGTGTGTGTGTGTGTGTGTGTAGCTATTGCTTTATCTGATTAATGTTATTTTCATATGAAAGTCCATGATTATAAGTATGCAGTATCATAACTACATCTTTGATGTTTATAAAAAACCAAACCGTTTGAAAATTGGTTGAAAATTGAGCAAGCTATGGTTATTTAAATAGTAAACCATAATGCTATGAATGAGAGAACTGCCTGTAGCAAGATGGCGGCCAAGAGGCGAAGTCCCTCCCCTTCCGAAAGCCTCCATGGGACCCCGGAAGCGGAAAATTATACATTGAAGTCAATGGAGAGAGAAAGGTTATCTTTTGATCCCGTTTGAATTGTGCCACGAATGACACATATGATGTTTGTGAATTTAAAAGAATATTTTGCAAGTCAAAAAAATAAAAATGTGTCGTAAAACTGTGAAGTTACACATTTTTTCGTGTGAAACCGCTCAGTGAACTACAGGTCTCTCGTCTCGCACAATACGCGTCACCAACATAAAGATGGCCGTCACGTTAGCACATTTCACCACATTCTTTCAGAATGAGAATACAATTATTTTACGAGGTGAAAATCACTACAAGTCTGGGCACGTTGAGAGCTGTACATACACGAAAGGGGAGTTAGTCGGTTCTGTAAGAGCAGCGGGACCGGCTTTACAAGGTTTCGGTGAGTAATATGCGTGCAATGTTTAACGTTAATGTCAGCTAGCTAACATTAGCTAACAAGGTACACTAACGTGTTTTGTTTTAGCAACTAGTTTTCTCCTTAAGAACTTCGTGGTCTCTGTGTATGCTGTGGATAACATTAGTGTTCACAAGAACAAGGTACACTCCCGTGTTTTGTTTTAGTTGCTCTTCAGATTGAAGCGGCCAGTTTTATATCGACTATACTGTATGTGTGATCTCCTTTTTCTCGTTGTGTCATTTGAGTTTATTTGCTGTGTGTAGATTCAAGGATTTTGGTTATCTAGGCACAGCTGTGTGTGACTCCCTCATGTACACTGGTATGTGTTTTCCTAATGTAGAGAGCATTGATTAATTAATAAACTACACACTGAGTCTAGATCCTGACCAAATCCTTTTTTATTGTTGATCAAATGTTTTTCAAAAATGTATTCATACACATTTAGAAAAATACAATGTACAATCACAACCAATACAACACAAATTACAAAAAATACAGAAAAAACAAACAATAACAACAGACAAGAGGACAAAACTATGGAAAAATAAACCCTCCCACCCCCAGATCCGGACCATCCTTGTATTATTGCTCATTCAATTTATTATAGCATGCTAACAAATGGTACTTACTTTATTTTTTACAGATCTGCATGGGAGACGATGGCGCGATGCAGAGCGCTGTCTGTGATTGTGCACAGGAGATGTACAAATGCAGCCACGCTGCAGCATTGGCAATATTTGCCATGTGGCAGATCAGCTCCACAGATGTTGAGTGCCAGTGGAGGAAGCCTGGCACTTCCAAAGTAGTCCAGCCGGTGTCTCAACTTTACCAACAGCGAGAGGAGACATACAACCCACTGGCCAGAGACATCGCCAACTGTCAACTGGGGGGTTGTAAACGAAGCCGAAGGGGTGAAGGCTTTTGTGGAGGCTTTTGTGGAGGCCTATCAAGTGACAGTGTTCGAATCGAGTCTGGTCTCTTTGTGAGTGAGTCGGGTGTTTTGGGAGCATCACCCGATGGACTTGTGCAGCCATCTGCCCTGCTGGAGGTGAAGTGTCCACACAGCCAGAGGAACATGACCATCGCGGAGGCAGTCCAGTTACCATCCTTCTGTCTCCGTGAGGAGGGTGGGTCATATATTCTCAAGGAGAATCACCCATACTGGCACCAGGTCCAAGGGCAGCTGCATATCACAGACCGGAGTCTCTGCTACTTTGTTGTGTGGACCACGAAGGAGGCGATCATCATCCCCATCCCCAAAGACCCTGCATGGCATGGAAATCTCCTCCTCCTGGAACAATTCTACACCCAGCATATGCTCCCTGTGTTGGCCAGTAGAGAGGAGGACATTTCAATAAACATACTCTTAACACCCTCGGACTCTGCGTTGTGTTCGTATGTGTGATGGGGTGTTATGCAGAGGGGAGGAAAACAGGACACAGCAGATTGGGATTGTGGTGGAGATGCTGAGCAGTTATTTAATTGTTGCATGTAATTATTATTATACTGCGTGCTTCTGAGTTATTCCATCTTTTGCTGTAACATGGATCTGTATGTAACTCTATATTTACTTGTTATCTACCACACTTCCTTCTACATCATACACCATCATTATACATGATGGTGTATATAGGATATATATATTTGTATACATATCTGTAAATTGTATAATTTTATTTAAACGTCTTTTTGATCTCTCAAACTGAGTAAGATTGACAATAAAGTTGACTTTGAAAAATATATATATTCTTTATGAAAATAGTTGACTGTTGTCAAATGAATCCAAATGAAACGTTGGATTGAACTACAACTACGCCTTTAAATCTCTACGGACTGTTTTTCAGTGGGATGGCAAGTTCCTATCTTTAAACATTTATTAGTTTTTTCTCAGAACAGATTTGATTTTCTGAAGTTAATTTAACTTTGCCGACCATGTAAGGCCATTATTAAAAGGTACAATCAATTTGTTTAGGGTTGACTAAAATAATGAAAAACATTCATTTGGATAATTTACTGACAGAATAAGAAACTCAATGATGCTCTACTCACCTGTTCCTTTTTTATAAAGTGAAACAGTTGAAACGATAGATTTGAGTAAACTTAAAAACAACCTTCTCCAAAAGCTATCAAGGAATATACCGAATACTTGTTTTAGAACTTTATTACATATTTTTATATAAATAGTTTGAATGATCCATAATTGACAGAAGCTTGTGTTTACACTGACCTGTTACTCATATATTAATGTCTTTGTAACTTCAGTAAACCACTACCTCACTCATTTCACTTTCATTCATCACGGTTCAGTAAACTAAGTGACACATGAACCAGTTTAAATCATTATAATAACGTAGGATTGCAACTCTTTGAAAATGTAGGTGGCTCTTAAAAGAGCCGTTGTGTTTGGGTGTGCTGGTCTCAGGTCAGTCTAAGCCCTCTCTCCGCGGATGCGGCGGGCCAGCTGGATGTCCTTGGGCATGATGGTGACCCTCTTTGCTTGGTTCATCTTACTGGGGGGCAGCTACATGGATGTCGGTGCAGTCCACAATCATTGCGCAGTTGAAGGCAGAATTAATTTATTATTGACTCCGAATGAAGCACAACTTCATGTCATACAATACAATGACTTTATTTGTAATTGTGTAAAAAAACATGAGCATTGATTAGCAAGCAGGACCTGCAGGAACAAAGAATGGTGATGGATGGAGCTGGGAAGAGAGAAGAATAAAGAAAACAGATCAACTTTATTATCGGATATTAAAAATTCAATTTCAAAACAAGTTGCCGCTCCTACAGTTTTCTAGTATGTAAAGATGATTTCACATGACCTATGTAAAATATCACACTCAATACATGTGTGTCTCTGGGGGGTGCATTGTGCCTTTGATGTATATAAATAATATACCATAACCAAATACTATTACGTACAGTGGAAATCAGGTTGCCAGAGCAGGTCAGTGTGCATGTTCCTCAACGTCTCAGCAGTTACAGGTGAGGTAAAGAAAATAAAAGAGAAAAAGGTCAGTAACAACACTTTAAAGTAACAACACTTTGAATAATTATCTCTTCTAACAATTGTTTCTCAATAAGCACACAACGACTGTCTTTCCAACAAACAGATTGTCATCACAATGAAACACGTCCAGAAGAATGTCATGCAAAGCTCCCTGCCTGCCTTCGACTCTCCCTGAACTGCTTCCTTAGCACCCGGTGGAGGGCGCAGTAGGCTACTCTTCAAATGTTTCACGAAATACTTACCATCATGTTTGGTTACTGTTTAACATTTTGGTTTAATTCATGTAATAAAATAATAACTTCATGGTAAGGCTACTAAAAATGACAAGGCTAAGTAATGT